CTTTATAGAATGTTAATAATTATAAACAGAACATTAATTTACAAAAGTTTCTTGCAGTGTATATTTATTCGTTACTTGACCCCCTGGAGGTTGGCAACCCTATTTGGAAACTTGTTCGGAGCTCCTCAATGAAAAGACCTGTTAATGGCTTCAGCGTCCTGGGAGGACAACTGCTGATTGTTACTCAAGGGTAAAAGTAAGCCAGAATGCAGCACAGATATGAACGTGGCACCACCCCTTTTCTGCTTTGAGCCCCCAAGAGAGACAGGAGGAGTAAGCCCTTTAAATTACCTTTGTCCCTGTTGTGTTCCCTCTAAGCTGTGGAGTCTCGTGAGCAAAAATTCTCCTTTGTGAGCTTCTGGCATTCAAGTTGTGAGCAAGTGATGTGGCTGTGGCATAAATTAGTTTGCTGTGGAGCCATCCCTTCCTGAGCCGAGACAAAAATGTGTGAGCCGGCGGCTAAAAAACTGTGAGCTAGCTCACAGTAACTCAGCTTAGAGGGAACACACTGCTTTGCCCCTGAGAAAGAGAGAGGGAGGTAAATGCCCGCTGTGGACTTTCCATCCTCCAGGTGGGAAAACCAAAGTGGGACTCTCAACATGTGAGACTGAATCAAGAAAGGAAAAAACGCCGAGAACCAACCGTGAAAACTGTAAACAAACTGATACGCATTAAAAAATATTATTGTTCTGTTAATCTCAGTGGCTTCGATATTATTCTAAGCCAAATTTACTAGGTAAACTATGTTTTTGAAGTATTTCTTTAGATCCTGATTTCTTAGTGCCTGCGAGCGCGCTAACACGGAAGCTGTCACGGCCAGGTTTCGGAGGAGTTTGTGGGAATACTTCAAACATAGTTTACATAGTAAATTTGGCTTACAATAATATTGAAGACACTAAGTTTAATAGAACAATAATATTTTAATGCATATCAGTTTGTTTACAATTTTGATTGTTCTTAGCGTTTTTTCTTTCTTGGCTCTCCTAGAATTACGACTGCTCCCCGGACTACAGAAATTAACTCATCTGGAGAAAATGGCAGCTTCGGAGAGTTAAAAAATGGGGAGAGACCTCTGTAGAAAATCACAAAAGGTACTGAGCTGTACATGAAAGATTATCAGAACTATACATGAGCAATTGGATCACAGATATATGATTTAAATGTACCCTTTTATCCTCTATTATTGGCTGATAAACCACAGTCTACAGCTGTAAAAGGCCATGCCGCAATGGGACTGTTAATAGCCTGCTTCAGTGGGGAGGGCAGGGTATAAATCCAATAAGACAGACTGTCAATTGCTGTACTTTACTAACTGCCATAATTCACAATATCATGTACTGAATTTTTATACATGAATGGTCATACCTTACTGTATTATGCACAGTAGACAGGGGCTGTTTTCACTTTGCACTGTACTAGTTACACACTGTATATGTTAATGTTTGGTTTGCACACAGTTAAGTATATCAGCCTTCTTTTCCTTTGTGTGGCCTCTGGTTTGTAATTCCATAGAGTAGAATCATAGAATCATAAGAGTTGGAAGGGGGCATACAGACCATCTAGTCCAACCCCCTGCCCAATGCAGGACCAGCCTACAACCCTAGATCCTGTGCTCTCAGCTGAATGTTCACTTCATGCAGTAGTGGCATCAGAGTCAGGGTAGAGGTTCAGGGTCCAGGCTTGCAGGGTCATCGTCAGAGGATCCCCAGTTGCAGACTGTATTGTGCCCAGTACACCATGCATATGCATAGAATCAGGTTACCCCATATATGCCGATGGTGAGATCACACCAGAGAAGCTGGCTAGTGTAGCCGTTAAGAGTGTTAGACTAGGATCCAGGTTCGAATCCCCACTTGTGCCGTGGAAGCTTGTGGGTGACCTTGGGCCAGCCAAACACTCTCAGCCTGACCTACCTCACAGGGTTGTTGTGAGGACAGAGGGATGTTTGCCACTTTGGGTCCCCAATTCCCCACTGGGGTGAAAGATGGGGATATAAACGAAGTAAATTAATATATAAATATTTCCATTCTGTGTTTCACATTTGATGTGCAAGTTGCCATCTAAAGGAGGGAGAACGAGTCCATTATTTATTTATTTACATTATGTATGGCCTGCCTTTCTCACTGACACTCGAGGCAATTTGGCATTATCAGCAATTTTAATGAGTAGCCCTTCTACCCCTTCATCCAGATCATTGATAAAAGACTCCATGGCAGAGCTCTCCAACTCTCTGGAGCCTTGTGAGCACCTTTGAACTCCTGACACAGGGTGGGCGGGCACAACCACAAAAATGGCTGCCGCGGGGGGTGGGGGGATGGAGCCAACCACAAAATGTCAGGAAGTGAGGTCACACGTAAATTTAACAGCAACGCTTCAGCATTTCAGGCAGAAGCTCTGCTTAACAGGATATATTAAAACTAAGATATGGCTTTAAAACCTTTTCTTGCATATACACAGCTTACCTCAGCCGCCCTGAGCCTGCTTCCGTGGGGAGGGCAGGGTATAAATCCAATAAACAAACTAACTAACAAGTCTCTTGTCCTGTGGGTTCAGTTACTGCTGAAACAACTTTCAAGAAATCTGCACCACCGATCAGGTCTCCAATGGCTCATCAGAGACTCTGCTGGGCAAAAGTTCCTCCTGGCACTGCCCACTTTCCAAAAGCATCTTGTGGTGCCAGAAAAGATGTCAGCAGTGCTAGGGAGCCCAAGGGCACCACGTTGGGGACCCGCTATATGGAATCACATTTCTGCTGAGCCCCTTCCCCTCCCCAAACTCTCCTATCTCCAGGCTCTGCCCTCAAATCTCCAGAAATTTCCCAAGGAAGAGTTGGATACCCTAGATCCTGTGCTCTCAGCTGAATTTTCACTTCATGCAATAGTGGCATCAGAGTCAGGGTAGAAGTTCAGGGTCCAGGCTTGCAGGGTCATCATCAGGGGATCCCCAGTTGCAGACTGTATTGTGCCCAGTACACTATGCATGTGCATAGAATCAGGTTACCCCATCTGTGTTTATATATGCCGACTGTGAGATCACACCAGAGAAGCTGGCTAGTGTAGCCGCTAAAAGTGTTAGACTAGGATCCAGGTTCGAATCCCCACTTGTGTTGTGGAAGCTTGTGGGTGACCTAGGGCCAGCCATACACTCTCAGCCTGACCTACCTCACAGGGTTGTTGTGAGGACAGAGGAATGTTTGCCACTTTGGGTCCCCAATTCCCCACTGGGGTGAAAGACGGGGATATAAACGAAGTAAATTAATATATAAATATTTCCATTCTGTGTTTCACATTTGATGTGCAAGTTGCCATCTAAAGGAGGGAGAACGAGTCCATTATTTATTTATTTACATTATGTATGGCCTGCCTTTCTCACTGACACTCGAGGCCGATTGCACTCTGTAAACCACTGCAGTCAATACAGTGATACTTTCTAATAAGCAGTGTAATAGGACTAGATTAAGTCCAGAATCTAAAATGGATTGATCGCATCACCAAGTTCAGGCACTGAAGGTGAGCTTAAAGAACACGGATCAGGACCCTCTGCAAGTGAGGAGGTCACAGGGCAGAGAAGTCAATGAAGAAACTATTCCTTGCAGACAAAAATCTCGAAAGCGACTGCTCCAAATATGGAAAGGGGACACATGTTCTCAAAGCTGACCTGGCCAGGTGCAAATGGAGCTCTGTCCCTTTAATACCTCAAAGAGGGACTCTGGGAAGCTGCAGCTCTTCTTTGGCTTGTGGGGATAAGCTGCCCTTGCCCCCAATCCCTCTTCAGCGCTTCTCTTAAAGGGACAGGACCCCTGCTGTCCTCCTTTGCCTCTAACCATCTCGCACCAGCCAGCCTCTATTTCCCTCCTGTTGCTTTAAATCAGCATAATGATGAGTCACGCTCTCCCAGCCAGCTGCTTCCGGTCCCACCCCTTAGAAGGGCTCCTTTATGCAAATCACACGCCCCTCTCTCAGCCAATCCGCTTTAGCGGAACGCCAGCCTCTCCGGCGCAGTTGGCCCAACCCATCAATTATTCCATGGTTGCCAAGGCAGCAAGCTTCCTAGCAACAGTTCCCGCCTCCTCACCTGCCTCCAGCGACCATAGCAACGAAAATAACAAACTATCTCTTGCTTTCTCTTGCCTTCATCAAAACTTCTGCCGCAGCTCAGAGCCTGGGTGGGGGTTTGATACCTTTCCCCCCCTCCCCCCTCCCCACCAGAAGAGTGTAGGGGATTAACGGGAAATATTTTGGTAGAGGGACAGGTGGCCCCGGTTGAAATTTAAGCATCACTATGGGAGTCAGAGGGCAAAAGGGTTCAGGATCTAGGGATACCAATTCTAGATTGGGAAATTCCTGGGGATCTGGGGAGGGGAGGGACCTCAGCATGGTTATAATGCCATATAGTTCACCCTCCAAAGGAGCCCTTTCCTCCAGGGGAACTGATGCCTGTAGTTCTGATTCCGGGAGATCCCCAGACCCCACCTGGAGGTTGGTAACCCTATCAAGATCACTAGGGACAAAAGAAGCCGGCCAGGCTGCTGGACCTTTAAACCGGAACCCCAGATGGACTACACCTGCCCCCCCCTTTTCTGCACATCTACTGAATGCCTAACAGCCTTGCTTTCCTCCCTTATATCTGGTGGTCACCCCAAAAGAGGACCACACCTTAGGAAACTGAGCCCCATCAGTTTCAAAACCCCAGGCTGACCTTTGCAGGATCGTCTCTCAGGCCATTTATGATCATAATAATCGGGACAGGGTGGAGGCTAGTGCAAAGTAGGGGATTCACTGAAGAAATAACCCCAGCCTGTGGGCATATAAAATGTGGTTTAGCAGAGCCACGGGGTGTTCATGGGTCCCTTGCCCAGGAGATGGTAAGAAATGGCCGTTTTGGAGGGTTGAGGGATATTCCTAGCTGAGTACACACTTCGTACTCATTGTCTCTGGCCAGCCAGTTTCCAACACCCAATTTTTTATCTCCCTCTGTCTTGAAAGTCCCAGCCACCAAAAATGTCTGACGAGGAACCTGAAGATGACTTCGACAATGAAGATCAGAAGGAAGAGGCTGATGAGAAAGAGGGAGAAGAAGAAGAGGAGAAGGAAGGTGCTGAAGAAGAGGAAGAAGAGGTGAAGTGTGAATAAGGTCTATTACATTATGCCTAAAGCATGCAAGTTTTAAAGTCCTGTTCATTTCTGCGAGAGAAATTCAAGCATGTACTTAACCCTTCTGTAATGAAGTGAATGGGACTTTAGAGAGCTAAACTCTGAAAGCATTCCCTGTATCCGTGAAAAAATTCAGGCAGTTCTTCTTCCTCCCTCAGTATTGCTTTGTTTCAAGGTTTATTACAATGTCCTTTTTCATTTCATTGCTCTTTGTGTGGTTTAGTTTTGTTGCATTGTTTATTGGATGTATTCTGTGTTTAGGGTGGCCAGCTCTAAGTTGGGAAATACCTGGAGTCTTGGGGGGGGGAGCCGGGAGAGGGCGGGGTTTGGGGAGGGGAGGGGCCTCGGTATGGTCCAGTGCCATGGAGCCCACCCTCCAAAGCAGCCATTTTCAACAGAGGAACTGATCGCTGTAGCTTGGAGATGGGTTGTAAAAGCGGGGGATCTCCAGGCTCCACCTGGAGGCTGGCCGCCCTAATTGGGTCGCTTAATAATTTTGTAGTCCTCCCCAATGAGAAAAGCAAATGAGGAAGGGAGAGAGGGAGGGAGGAAATAAATTGTTAGCAAGGTAGGTTGCCAGCTTCCAGGTGGGGCCTGGACAATCGCCCGCTTTTACGACTGGCCTCCAGCTGACAGAGATCAGCTCCCCTGGAGAAAATGGCTGCCTTGAAGGGTGGACTCTGTGGCATTGGACCATGCTGAGGCCCCTCCCCTCCCCAAGCCCCGCCCTCTCCTGGATCCACCCCCAAAGTCTCCAGGTATTTCCCAACCCAGACCTGGCAACCCTAGAGCAAGGTGACCAAGTGGGCCCATTGTGAATCGCTTTTCAGCCTCACGGTATTTTTTTTCCTTAGAAAGGAGGGGACAGGAGAGAGGCTGTTTTAAACTTGTGTATGTGTCTGTAACAAGGGTCCCCAGCCTTTTGGAGCCTGTGGACACCTTTGGAATTCGGACAAAATGGCTGCCACGGCTTATCTTCAGATACACAGTGAAGGTCCTTGTGTTGCTGTGGCAGCTGCCGCAAAGGCAATGTGCTGAATAATCTGTACTGCCAATCAAATCTCCAATGGCCAATCAGAAGCCTTGCTGGGGAAAAGCCCCACCAGGCCCTTCCCACTTTCTGAAAACATTGGGTGGGCACCAAGAAATATGCTAACAGGCACCATGTTGGGGATCCCTGGTCTGTAAACTGGATCCTGGGTTAACAAACTAACCAAAGTTCACATAAACCAGAGTTTTGTGTTATGTCTGAACTCAGCCTCTTGAATCAGACCCAGCTGGAAAAAGAATGGAAACCATAGAGAGGATAACTTCTTTTAGGAATGGCAGGTATGGTGAAGCCGACTCAGGGTTTGTCAGGCGAGGATAACGGACTCCGGATTTTATCAGGATTTTTGTTGTTGTTGCTGTCAAGTCACAGCTGACGTACGACGACCCTGTAAAGGTTTTCAAGGCAAAAGGCAGCAGTTTCGGGGGTGCAAATTTAGAATCCCGGGCAGTGTTCCCTCTAAGCTGAGTTAGTGTGAGCCAGCTCACAGTTTTTTAGCCTCTGGCTCACACATTTTTGTCTTCGCTCAGGAACTATGGCTCCAGAGCAAACTGATCTATGCAGCAGCCAAATTGCTCGCTCACACCTTTAATGGCAGTAGCTCACAAAGCAGAATTTTTGTTCACAAGACTCCACAGCTTAGAGGGAGCATTGGTCCCAGGGCACCTTTAACACCAGCAAAGGTTTATTCAAGGTATGAGCTTTTGTGTGCATGCCCACACTTTATCAAATACCAGAGATGGTTTGCCACTGCCTGCCTCTGTGTGGGTGACCCTGGACTTCCTTGGCGGTCTCCCATCCAAATACTAACCAGGGCTGACCCTGCTTAGCTTCTGAGATCTGATGAGATCACGCTAGCCTGGGCCATCCCGGTCAGGCCCTTGGGAACTACCAACTTACAAACCACCTGGCACCTGCCAGTGGTAGATTTGCTCTCCCACCTGTCCAGCTGTACCATCGTCTGCCCTCCTACCACAGCCTGATCTCCTGAGCAGGGCCCCTCCAGCTGTTTTGCACAACAACAACAACAAGAAGAGATTGGATTTCTACCCCGCCCTTCACTACCCAGAGGTGTCTCAGAGCGGCTTACAAACTCCTTTCCCTCCCCCTCCCCACAACAGACATCCTGTGAGGTAGGCAGGGCTGAGAGAGCTCTGGCAGAAACTGCTCTTTTTCAAGGACAGCTCTTATCAGAACTACAGCTTGCCCAAGGTCATCCAGCCAGGTGCAAGTGGAGGAGTGGGGAGTCAAACCCGGTTCTCCCGGATTAGAGTCCGCGCACTTAACCACTACACACAAACAGACCAGCGGGAGGAGAAAAGGAGAGGGAGGGAGGGAGAGAAATACGTAGGAGATGCTGCCGCTGCCTCATCTCCTGAGTCAGTGGCAAATCCAAAAGGACAGGGCGAATCGGATAAGCTGAGCGGCATCTCACTTCCCCCTCAACTCTGCTTTCTTTCCCAGCACCCCGTCTCCAACCCTCTCACCGAGGAACACTTCAAGGAAGGCCTCTCGCTTTTGTGTAAAACTGGCAACGGCTTGGCTCACGCCTTTGTGAAATTCGAGGTCAGAGAAAAGTGAGTGCGGGAGTAATACGCTCATAGGGTTGCCAGCCTCCAGGTGAGGCCTGGAGAGCTCCCAGAGTTGCAACTGATCTCCAGACTTCAGAGGTCAGCTCCTCTGGAGAAGATGGCTCCTCCGGAGGGTGGACTTTACAGCATCACATCCCCAGTTCCAAACATCTGCCCTTCTCAGGCGCTGCCCCCAAATTCCAGGAATTTCCCAAACTGGAATTGAGTTGCCAGTCTCCAGGTGAGGACTGGAGATCTCCCAGAATTACAAGTGATGGGGATCAGTTCCCCAGGAGAAAATCCCTGCTTTGGGGGGTGGGCTCCATGGCATTATACCCTGCTGAGGTTCCCTCCCCACCCCAAACCCTGCCTTCCCAACCACCACCACCCACAAATCTCCAGGAATTTCCTAACGCAGAGTTGGCGACCCTTAGATCCTATTCCTTTCCTGGGCTGGGCAGAAGTGCCGAAAAGCTAGAGCTGAAGTTTTGGTGAATAATACCATTTCCCGCCCCTGGTTCTGTGGCAGGGAGTTGACAGACATCACCATCATCCAGGGCTTCATCCACTTGCGCTACGTGGACCTGTCTGACAACCTGCTCCGGGACCTGTCTCCCTTGTCGTGCCTCACCCACTTGCTGTGGCTGAAGGTGGACAACAACCGGTTGACCAGTGCCGCCATGGAGGAGCTGCCCTACCTGCAGATCGCCAGTTTTGCCAACAACCACATCAAGGACACCACTGGCGTTAATCATCCACGCCTGACCAGCCTCAACCTGAAAGGTGAGGGGGTGAACATTGTGCACTAAACTGGGAGGAGAAGCTCTTAGGGCTCAACGGCACGCTATGGTTTCTTCCTTGTTTCTTTTTAATTGAATTCCTTCCCTGTCCTTTATCCATCTATTCTGGTAAATTTCTAGACTACCTTAAGGCTGCTGATTCAAAGCTTGGTTCAGGTTTGAATGTGGCCTGCTTTTGGGTTAACAGAGTGAACCAGCAAAATCAAGTTGGAAAGTGCACTGAAAGTGGGTTATTTAGTGTATGTGACCGCACCCTTATTTACTTATTTTTAGTATTTCAGTCGCCTTTTTCTCATTGCTAGAGACTCAAATCCTGGATACCCTGACCTGGATAGCCCAGGCTCATCTGGTCTCCGAAGCTAATCGGGCCAGCCCTGGTTAGTATTTGGATGGGAGACCGCCAAGGAATACCAGGGTTGCCAAGCAGAGGCAGGTCATGGCAAACATCACATGCCTTGAAAACCCTACAGCAGGGGTGGCCAAACTTGCTTAATGCAAGAGCCACGTAGAATAAACGTCAGATGTTTGAGAGCCACAGGATATGAATACATACATTTTAAATGAAAAAATATGCAAATTTTCACATTAAAGAGACAAATGCCTTCTCCGAGCCAAGCCAGTCTGCCGGTGTGGCGGGGCTTGGAGAACACATTTAACTTCAGATGGGGAGGGAGGGGAGAACGATAGAAGGAAAGGTGGAAAGAAAGCAAATAGATGGGGGAGGGGAGGGGGGAGAGGTGGAAAGAAAACAACTTTAAATGCATCCTCCAAGCCTCCCACGCCCCCCACTCCAGCTGGCTTGGCTTGGAGAAGGGATTTAAAGAGACAAATGCCTTTACCAAGCCGGCCGGGGGGGGGCTTTGAGAACACATTTAAAGTTGCTTTCTTTCTCTGCTTTCCCCCACCTCAAGCCTACCCAGGGAGGGGAACACTGGCTGGGGAAGGGAAGACCGATCGGGGAGGCACGCCTCCCCTTCGCTTCCCCATCCGCCCTGCCGAGCCTCACAATAGGTGTGAAAGAGCCACATGCGGCCCCCGAGCCACAGTTTGGCCACCCCCTGCCCTACAGGGTCGCCATAAGTTGGCTGCGACTTGACAGAGAGAGAGAGAGAGACTCAAAGCAGCTTACAAAAAAGCACGGTATAATTTACGTATGCAAGTGCTGTCAAGGCGCAGCCAACTCGCGGCAACTTTCAAGGCAAACATCTTTCAGGGCAAGTGAGAAGCAGAGGTGGTTGGCCATCGCCTTCCTCTGCAGAGCCTTCCTTTGAGGTCTTCCATCCAGGCACCGACCCTGCTTAGCTTCTGAGATCTGACGAGATCGAGCTATACGCCATGCCACCTTCCCACAGTATAATTTAGACAAAAAGAACATTTTTGCCAACTCCTGAGTTGCTCCAGGATTGGCTGGCCTGGCTCACTCTGGGCTACCACCTCGGAGTCCTTTGCCTCTCGGAGTCCTTTGCCTCTCGGAGTCCTTTGCCTCTCGGAGTCCTTTGTCTCCTGCCCTTCAGCCCATGCCAGAGGTTCCGGACCCTGTCCACACCCAGCCTAAAGACCCACAACAGAAGCTCAGCCCAGATCCTGTGTGGTGGAATAAAGATGAACCCCACCTCCCTCCCCTGCCAAGGAAAAAAAACCCCATCGAAATACCTATAAATATTAACTGGCTTTTCAACCATACATGATCCTCAAGGCGTTTTCTCTGCATGATGAAAAACAGCATGCACAACAAAACAGGCAAAGCAACAAAAAAGAGAGAGAACCGATGTTCCGCAGCGCCACCTAGAACACCATAACATCCAAGGCAGAGGCCTTCCAAACAAGCCAGGTCTTTTAACCTTCCCAGAATGTCGCCAGAGATGTGCAAGAACTGAGTCCGGCGGCACCTTAAAGACTCTTGCTCTTCTAGTGCAGACCAGCAAGGATACTCACCTGACACTGTCTCCAGAGACGTGGTCACTCTTAGCTCCTGGTTAGGGATGCCAGCCTCCAGGTGGTACCTGGGGATTCCCCTGGAATTACAGCTCACCTCCGGACTACAGAGACCAGTTCCCCTGGAGAAACTGGATGCTTTGGAGGGGGGACTCTATGGTATTGCACCTCATTGAGGTCCTTGTCCGCCCCAGGCTCTATCTACAAACTTCTAGGAGTTTCCCGACCTGGATCTGGCAACCCTTTCCCTCATCTCCCACCAGTAGCCAGGTGAGATCAGAAGAAGAAGAGGAGGAGGAGGTTGTATTGATACCCCGCCCTTCACTACCCAAAGGAGTCTCAGAGCGGCTTACAAACTCCTTTCCCTTCCCCTCTCCACAACAGACACCCTGTGAGGCAGGTGGGGCTGAGAGAGCTCTCTCGAGAACTGCCCTTGTGAGAACAGCTCTGAGAGAACTTGTGACTGGCCCAGGGTCACACCAGCAACCCTAGGGAGAATGTTTTTGCAAAGGCAGCCTCCAGTATTGTCAAATCAAGGAGGAGAGGGGTGTGAGGGAAGGGAAATCTTAACCTTTTACCCCAGAGCTGTTTTTATCCCCTCAGGGGAAACAAGTGCCTGCAGAAGCAGCTCAAGGAAGGCAAGGGAACTATAGAAGAGGAAAGGGAGAGTGTTTCCTTCTGTCTCCACACCATCCTTCTTCAGAAAACAGTCCTGGCAACTAAGTTTGCAAAAGGACAAAAATAATGTAAAATAGACAAGGATGAAACCCTTACTCTTTTCTGCTGGTAAAAGGCTCAGGAGAGAATAAATCTCACAATCATTTTCCATTCCTCCGGCGTCCAGGCAACGAGATTGAGGTAATATCAGGACTGGATCCCCTCAAGCTTTCAAATCTCCACACACTCGAGTTGCGGAGTAACAGCCTCAAGACTACAACAGGACTCTACTTGCCTAAGCTGAAAAATTTGTACCTGGTAAGAGGTGCCGTTGGCGGTTGTGCTTCAGAGAGTGGTACGCACGTCTCAGTCCACTGACTCCCAGAACCCCTAACCCAACATTGGCGCTTAGCTTCCCAAATCCCTATAGGCTTCAAAACTGATGCCACTCTCGGACACTGGTAATGACCAGATGAAAAGCCTAGCTCAGGGGTCCCCAAGCTTTTTGAACCTTTGGAATTCTGACACAGCATGGTGGGAGCAGTCACAAAATGGCTGCCCGCTACAAAATGGCTGCCCCAGCTTACCTTCAGTCACACAGTGAAGCTCTTTGTGCTGTGGTGGCAGCTGTGGCCAAAGCAACATTTTAAAAAATCTGCCTAGCCAATAGGGTTGCCAGGTCTCCCCTGGCTGCTGGTGGGGTGGGTGGGTGGGTCCCCTCTCAGTTTGGTGTAGTGGGTAGGAGCACAGACTCTAATCTGGGAGAACCGGGTTTGGTTCCCCACATGCAGCTGCTGGTGTGACCTCGGGTCAGTCACAGGTTCTTTCAGAGCTGTTCTCTCAAGAGCGGTGCTCGAAAGAGCTCTCTCAGTCCCACCTCCCTCACAGGGTGTCTGTTGTGGGGAGGGGAAGGGAAAGGAGATTGTAAGCCACTCTTGAGACTCCTTTGGGTAGTGAAGGGTGGGATATCAATCCAACCTCCTCCTCCTCCTCCTCCTTCTTCTTTCCTGGATCTCTTCGCCCGCACTGCAATGATGTCACCCGGAAGTGATGTCATCGCACAGGGCACGTTGTGGGGAGGCACTCTATTGTTTGAGGAAAAACTCTATGGTAACCATAGATTTTTTTCCCCTCAAACGATAGAGCGTCCCCCACAACGTGCCCTGTGTGATGACGTCACCTCTGGGTGATGTCATTGTGCCGGGCACGTTGACGCAGATGAGGCACTTTGAGGGCAGGGTTTCCCCTGCCAGCTGGATCCAGGCACCCCCAAAAGCAGGCAAGCCCCTGCCCCCATTGGGGGAATGGCAACCCTAACAGCCAACCAAAATTTCAGTAGCCAATCAGAAGCCTTGCTAGGCAAAAGCCCCACCGGGTCCCACCCACTTTCTAAAAACTCTTTGCAGACAAAGGGTATTGGGGGATGCGAAGGTACCAATGGGCACCATATTGGAGACCCCTGGCCTAGCTACTTGTAGCCTAGTCAGTAGTGATGGACTTGGATCAGGGAGACCCGGGTTCATATTCTCTCTCAGGTGCCCCAGAAGATCTTCAGCCAGTCATTCTCCAGTTGACAGCCTTGTCCTACCTTACAGGGTTGTGGTGAGGACAACATAAGAACAGCTCCAGTAAGTCCCCTCTGACCTTCTCAGAAGAACATTAGACATAAAATAAACACAGGATGACATCAAGCCCTGACCTCTGGCCAAACCATCCAGGGGTGGAACAAGACAAGCCACAAGGGAAATTATACGTTTCTCTTCTCTGCTCTTGCCTTCCCTTTGTGTTGACCGGCGTAAACTGCTATCGCTCCTCCGACAAAGCTGTGCTTCCTTCTAGGCACAGATGGGACAGTGCTGGATTCCCCCACCACTGTGTACCTGGCAGCCCCAAGCAGAATAAAAGAATGTATCGAGATGTGGATGAGAGGAGTATTTGAATATGCAGATCCCCTTTTAGAGCCTGGGGAACTGTAACTCTGTGAGCTGCAGGTTCTGCCAGTCCCTTCACTGAAACAGAACACTTGAATGCAGGGCATGTTCCAGATTTTGCATGGCCCCAGACAAAGAGTATACAGGCCCCCCCCATGCCCGCCACTAGCCCCCCCCCTTCCTGCCCACCTCACGGGCCTCTGCTCTCTCACAAGCATGCACATCACCTGCAGCCATCACTGCCCGCACGCCCTTTCCCTGATGACACAGGGGGGTGGGTGCCGCTAGGAGCACCCCTGCCAGGAGCGCTGGTGCTTTGTGCGCGACCCCCCACGCCCTTCTCCGGCAGCACTGGGGCAGCCTGTGCAGTGGAGAGCAGAGGTGACAAAGCAGATCTCAAGCTGGCAGGGGAAAGGTGTGAGTGACGGGGGTCAGAGGCGATGCGTGAGTAGGGAGTCCTCAGCAGTGGGGCCCATCAGAAGTAGGGTTGCCGTGTCCCCCCCCCCAATGCGGGCAGGGTTTCCCCCAATTTCAGAGGGCCCAATTTGCCACTGGCCAGCTGGCCGGCGGGGGGAGCCCCACCCCCAGTGTGCCCTACCGTGCCCGACATGATAATGTCACCTGGAGGTGATGTCATCGTGCCAGGCACATCACGTGGGAGACACTCTAAAGGTAAAGGTAAAGGTTCCCTTGCTCGAAAGCCAATCGAATCCGACTCTAGGGTTGTGGTGCTCATCTCCGTTTCCAAGCCGAAGAGCCAGCGCTGTCCGGAGACCTTTCCGTGGTCATGTGGCCGGCATGACTAAACACCAAGGCGCACGAAACGCTGTTCCCTTCCCACCAAAGTGGTACCTATTTATCTACTTGCAATTTCTTGCTTTCGAACTGCTAGGTTGGCAGGAGCTGGAACTAGAGACGGGAGCTCACTCCATCATGCAGCACCCGGGTCTCGAACTGCTGAACTACTGACCTTCCACAGCCTGCAGTTCAGCGTCTTAACCACTTGAGCCACCGCAGCTCCAGTGGGGAGACACTCTAGCATTTGGCTAAAAACTCTATGGTGACCATAGAGTTTTTGGTCAAATGCCAGAGCACCCCCTGCACGACGTGCCCGGCGCAATGACATCACTTCCGGGTGATGTCATCACTTTGCACTGGCACCAGAACATCCCAGGGAGCAGCCTGGAGCCCCCCCCCCCCCCGCCAGCAGACAGGAAGCATCTGGCAACCCTAATCAGAAGCCATGGCCCCCTGCAGCTGCCTCACCTCAAGGTATGCTGATGCTGGCCTTGTGTGCTTTTCTGGATCCAGGTCCCCCCGTGCCCGATCTGATTCCATCCTTGGTCTCTTCTGCCGCCTCCTCTTCTCCCCATTCTAGGCTCAGAACTCTATCAGCAATCTAGAAGGCCTGGAGGACCTAACGCAACTGACGACGCTGCACCTCCGTGACAATATGCTCGAAAGTCTGGATGGCTTCTCTGAAAGCATGAAAGCGCTTCAGTATCTCAACCTACGGTGGGTTGGCCTCTGCTCAGAGAGTCTCTGTCCCCAAGCCCCTTTGGGAGGAATGGGGGAGCCACAGGCCTAAAGACACCCCCTTCCCCCGCCCAGGGCCCCCCTCTGGAAATCTCCACCAATCTTTGGTGACCGTGTCGAGCTCCTGATCCTAATGCCCAGCTCTGGCCCTTGCTGTCAAGGTGGGCCGGGCAGACCTGCCAGATGGGAATCAGCGGTCACGTAACACACTGACTGCTTTCAATTCCGTTCCATTCCATTGTATTTTCCTCCCTGGAATAATTAAGCATGTTTTCCCTAAAAGCCAGGAAAGGCAAAGAGGAAGCTGAGTTGATCTATAGTGGCAAAACAAAATGGGAGTCCAGTGGCACTTTAATGATTAATGTTTACTTCTATGTGAACGTTCACTTCTTAGCTTGCCTTTATTATTATTGTTATTTTTGCTGCCAGGTCGCAGCTGGCTTATGGCGACCCCGTAGGCTTTTAAGGCCAGAGGTGTTCAGGGGTGGGTTGCCATCGCCTGCCTCTGCACAGCAACCCCAGACTTCCTTGGTGGGCTCCCATCCAGGTATCAACCAGGGCCAAACGGCTGACCTTCCGAGATCTGTCAAGATCAGCCTAGCCCGGGCCACCCAGGGCCTTAACTCGCTTAGACACTTAACAAGGGCAGGAAGGCAGGCCTGACTCCTTTGCAAGCCCTTGTTTTAATCTTTCCCCTAAATACCAGGAAGAGGGAGGGGCTGTAGCTCCGCAGTAGAGCATCTTCTTGGCATGCAAAAGGTCGCAAGTTCAATTGCCCGGCATCTCCAGTGGAAAGGACCACGCAGTAGGTGACATGGAGGACCCTGATCTGAAACTTACCGGAAATCTGTTGCCAGCATGCTGACCTTGGTGGACAGTTGGTCCAGTTCAGTATAAGGCAGCTTCATGGGTTATTAAGGCAGCTTCATGGGTTGTCGTGGTTAGGAGCGCGGACTCTAATTTGGGAGAACCGGGTTTGATTCTCCATTCCTCCACTCGCACCTGCTGATGTGACCTTGGGTCAGTCACAAGCTCTGGCACAGCTGTCCTTGAAAAAGAGCAGTTTCTGCCAGAGCTCTCTCAGCCCCACCCACCCCACAGGGTGTCTGTTGTGCGGAGGGGAAGGGAAAGGAGTTTGTAAGCCGCTCTGAGACTCCGAGTGAAGGGCGGGGTATAAATCCAATCTCTTCTTCTTCTTCTTAAATACTGAGTTCCATGGATGATCTGACACCGGGCCTAGTGATCAGCTCTGCTTTAGTAGTGCTTCAGCAAGAACAAGGCAAAAGGCCAGGGCAACGGCCCTGTTTTAAAAGCATGCCAGCTCCACCCACTTCCCACGCAACTACCAACGATAGGCTATTGTCAGAACCATTGATTCCTCATTGGCCACCCCCAGAGTCCTGGTGGGCTATTGTTCTAGAGCTCCAAGCGCAGCCAGTCTCTGGTAGAAACAGTCCTGGAATGTTCCAGTCCCAATACATAACATGGGTTCAAATGACTTCTCCTTTCCTTTGTCGTGGCAGCCTAATGCAGTGGATATTCAGTTTCGGATTACTGCTAGTGGCGGCGGTGGGGTAACTTCGAACCCAGTTATACCTGGGGGAGATTCCGTCCAGTAGCAGGAGCAGCCTCTCCAGTGAGCTGTGGGAACTGAGGGTTTCGGCTACCGTCCCTTGAAAGGGCCCCTGACCTGGATGGCCCAGGCTAAGCCAGTCTCATTAGATCTCAGAAGCTAAGCAGGGTCAGTCCTGGTTAGTAATTGCATAGGAGGCCATCAAGGAAGTCCAGGGTTGCTATGCAGAAGCACGCAATGGCAAAGCATCTCTGTTTGTCTCTTGCCTTGGAAAACCCCACAGGGTCATAGAATCATAGAGTTGGAAGGGATCTCCAGTGTCATCTAGTCCAACCCCCTGCACAATGCAGGAAATTCACAAATACCTCTCCCTCCACACACACCCAGTGACCCCTGCTCCATGCCCAGAAGATGGCAAAACCCCCTCCAGGATCCCTGGCCAAACTGGCCTGGAGAAAATTGCTCCCTGACCCCAAAGTGGCGATTGGCATTTCCCTGGGCGTGTAAGAAAGGGCCCCAAGAACTAAGCACTGATGAAACCCTTCCTGCAGCCTCCCTCTCACGATCTGCCTAAGTTCACAGAATCAGCATTGCTGTCAGATGGCCATCTCGCCTCTGTTTGAAAACATCCAGGAAGGAGAGCCCACCACCTCCCGAGGAAGCCTATTGTTCCACTGAGGAACCACTCTAACTGTCAGGAATTTCTTCCTAATGTTTGGCTGGAAACTATTTTGATTTAATTTCAACCCATTGGGTCACCGTAAGTCTACCCCCTGAGAGGGCACTGAACACAACTGACCCTCAGGTTGGTTCTCGCAGGTGTGTGTTTGTTGGTTGTGAACAGTAGGCTCTGATGCTCACGGTCCATCTGAGAACAGAGCGGGCTCCCAGCAGAAACCACTTATTAGAGGGGGAATGCCTAGAAGTGTGACCTCCAGTCCCATGCAAACTTCTATTCTCCCGCATGTATTTCCACCGCATTCTTGACCTTTGAGCTTTAGCGGGGGGGGGGGGGGCGGGGGGGGGGGGGGGGGGACGACACCCACTTCATAGTTTCTCAAAAGTCCTTTCCCGCCGCAGGGGGAACGCAATCGCCCAGCTCGACGAAGTGGCTAAGCTCCAGAAGCTGCCCATGTTAAGGGCCCTGGTCTTACTGGACAACCCGTGTTCGGACGAGGGGGAGTACCGGCTCGAGGTCCTGGTGGTGCTCCCGCGCCTCGAGCGCCTCGACAAGGATTTCTTCGAGGAGGACGAGCGGCTCGATGCGGAAGATGTCCGTCAGCGGCGGCGGGAAGAAGAGCTGGAGATGGAGAGGGAAAGGGAGCGAGAGAAGGAGCTGGAGCTGGTGAGAAATGGGGGGGGGGTATCCCAAGAGGGCCCGGGCGGTTGGGGTCCCTAGCAGAGGACACCAACGAGACAGTATGTTTGACACCAGTCAGGTCGTGGGTCCCCCAACCCAGCGCGGCGCAGTGGTTGAAGTGTCAATAGGGTCTGGGAGACCCAGGTTCGAATCCCCGCTCTGCCATGGAATCTCGCTAGGTGACCCAGGGCTGGTCGTATACTCTCACCCAAGCCTACCTCACAGGGCTGTTGTGAGGATAAAATGAAGCAGAGGAGATGTAAGCTGCTTTGGGTTCCCACTGGGGAGAAAGATGGGCTATAAACAAAGTAAATAAAAATCTTACAGCCAAGCGTGTTGGAAACTGAGAGTCAGTTTGCTGTCGTGGTTAGGAGCACGGACTCTGATCTGGGAGCACCAGGTTTGATTCCCAACTCCTCCACATGCAGCTGCTGGTGTGACCTTGGGTCAGTCATAAGTTCCCTCAGAGCTGTTCTCTCAAGGACAGTCCTCGAAAGAGCTTTCTCAGCCCCACCTACCTCACAGGGTGTCTGTTGTGGGGAGGGGAAGGAGATTGTAAGCCGCACTGAGACACCTTCAGGTAGTGAAGGGCAGGGTACAAATCCTTCCCTACCATCCTGGAACAGTCCCATAGCCGGGCAAATTGCCCCCCCCCCGGTGGCCATCTTGGTTTGGGGAAATGGTGCAGGAGAGAAGGGTAAAGGCCTCCTCCCAAGCCAAATTGAGCCCTGGTGCTCTTGGGAATGTTCCTTCCCCCACAGCACATAGGACCACAGGTGTCAAACATATCCTCTAGTCTGGCCCTAAGAGGAAGGGAAATCAGGAATCTGGTTGCTTTGTCCCTTGTGTGGAAGATGAAGCAACAACCTGTAAAGGAAATGCAAGATGTTGAGAGGGGCAGGGAAGGTGTGGACAGATTGGGGGGAAAACACCATACAATTTAAAGTCGTGCAGCAGCACAGAGGGCTCAGCTGATCCTGGCTGAGTGCGAAAGCTACACTGCAAGGCACTGAGCAGAATTTCCCTAGAGAATCTCAAGGAGGGGCCCAAATCGCCAAAGAGGCCATGGTTGGGAGAGGAGGCAGCTTGCAAAACTTTGACAGATGAAAGCAAATACTAAACTGGAAGATCCCCCCCCTGGGTAGGGGTGTAGTCTCCATCACTACATGGCAGTATGGCTCATGTGGCACGGGGTGAAAAAGGCAAACTCGCTGTTGGGGATTATTCAGAAAGGGATTGAAAACAAAACGTCAAGTACCCTAATGCCGTTATATAAATGCACGGCGTCGGCACATTTTGGGGGGAAAAGGGGTTGAACGTTTTTGTTGCCTTTTTCGAAAGAGGAGATCCTGGTGGTAGACAAGGGGCAGCTAAAGCAATCGCAATGAGAGAAGGCAACAGTGTTTGAACCGATTTTTAAAAAATGACCGTCCCTATAAAGGAAGCAAATAAATAAAGAGATCAAGCATGACGATCTATACCATCATGAGCACAGAGGGGAAGCAAAGGGACAATTTCTTCCAACTCTCTTAATTCCAGCCTTTGGAATAACCCAGTGCAGAGAGTGATTAAAATGTAGCCTGATTAAAATGTGGAATTCGCTGCCAGAGGATGTAGTGATGGCTGCAGGAATAAACAGTTTTAAAAGGGGCTTAGATAGATTCATGGAGAAGTCTATCAATGACTGTTAGCCATGGTGGCTGAGGAGAACCTCCATGTTCAGAGGCACTAAGCCTCTGAATCCCAGAGCCAGGAGGCTACACCATGGGAAGGCCTCAGCTTTTAAGCCCTGTTGCTGGCCATCCAGAGGGACTGGTTGGCCTCTGTGTGAGACAGGATGCTGGGCTAGATGGACCACCGGTCTGATCCAGCAGGGCTCTTCTTATGTTCTTATGAGTTCCAGTAGGGTCCAAGAAATTCTTCATCCCCCAGTACATAATCCTGCAGAATTCACTGTGACAAGTTTAGTGTAGTGGTTAGGAGCGTGGACTCTAATCTGGGAGAATCGAGTTTGATTCCCCACTCCTCCACATGCAGCTGCTGGTGTGACCTTGGGTCAATCACAAGTTCTCTCAGAGCCGATCTCTTAGGGGCAGTTCTCCAGAGACCTCTCTCAGCCCCACCTACCTCACAGGGTATCTGTTGTGGGGAGGGGAAGGGAAAGGAGCTATAAACCCCTGTGAGACTCCTTCAAGTAGTGAAGGGCGGTGTAGAAATCCAATCTCTTCTCTCTTCTTCAAGTTGTAGTGACAGCTTAGATGGCTTTTTCAAAAAAAGGCTATATAAAAAACCCGTCAAATGGGCTTGTTAACTATTGTTGGCTATTCGTCACGAGAGCTAAACTGAACCTCCATGTGCAGAGGCAGTCTACCTCTGAATACTAAATCATGGCAAATCAAAGAACGAGGCATGGCCTTTACCTCCGTGCCCTTTTCCTGCCCGTTGTCAGAACCAGAAGCCTGGGTCTGATCCAACCAGCCTCCAGAGCAGAGCCTCTCAGTATTCCATAAAAAACACTGAACAAAGGAAACAGAGGAAGCGGCAGGTCTGTGTTCCACTTGTGGTGCAGGCCTGGATGGCCGTCACCAGCATAACAATTCTTCTGTGTCTAAAAACGTTGGCTGTCGTCAGGCTGGACGCCAGGGAGCGAAGGGATGAAATCTCTCTCTTTTAAATACCAGCGATAGCTTATCTGGTCTTGCTCCGAAAGAGGATGCCGGGCAGGGTGCCAGCGCAGAACGGGAACCACGGCTGAGAGACGCTTTGGAGGGAGAGGAGGTGTTGACAGGCCTGCCGGAGGATAGGCTGCGTGCAAGTGCTAGCCAGGCCTGCCGGAGGAAGGCTGCTCACCCCAAATGAGGAGATAACAGCCTGGCAGTGGTGGGAGGGATGCCAGCCTCCAGGTGTGACCTGGGGATCCCCCAGAATTACAACTCCTCTCCAGACTACGGAAATCAACCCCCCTGGAGAAAACGGATGCTTTGGAGGGTGGACTCTGTGGCTTTGTACCCCACGGAGAAGTCCCTGTCCTCCCCAGGCTCCACCCCCCAAATCTCCAAGAGTTTCCCAGCCTGGAACTGGCAATCCAACCCACCCACCATCCACCGCCAGTGACCAGGGGGGACCTGGCAACCCTATGTCTTTAGTGGCCACTTTAAACCGATGGGTCAAAAGCCACCAGGGAAGCTCTCTGGCACAAACCCCTTTGCCATTCCTTTCAGCGGAGCTCGCGTGGGTGACCTTCCAGAGGGGTTGGCACCAATGCTCCCTCTAAGCCGTGGAGTCTTGTGAGCAAAAGTTCTACTTTGTGAGCTGCCGGCATCAAAGCTGTGGGCGAGCGATTTGGCTGTTTGCTAAATCAGTTTGCTCTGCAGCCGCCCTCCCTGAGCGAAGACAAAAATGTGTGAGCCGGAGGCTAAAAAACTGTGAGCTAGCTCACACTCACTCAGCTTAGAGGGAACACTGGTTGGCACCAATGCTCCCTCTAAGCCGTGGAGTCTTGTGAGCAAAAGTTCTACTTTGTGAGCTGCCGGCATCAAAGCTGTGGGCGAGCGATTTGGCTGTTTGCTAAATCAGTTTGCTCTGCAGCCGCCCTCCCTGAGCGAAGACAAAAATGTGTGAGCCGGAGGCTAAAAAACTGTGAGCTAGCTCAAACGAACTCAGCTTAGAGGGAACACTGGATACTGTATAAAGCCTGTGTGTGTGTTTATTTGTCTGTTGAGAGGGAGGGATCAAGCCACCCGCCGGTGTGCAGGCACGATACAGGGAGAGCAGGGCCTCCCATCCGCCTCACGCTTTGTGTTTTCTCCTCTTTCAGGAAGGGGAGGAGACCCCGGAGGTTACCGAGTGACACCCCTCCCCTCGGACGCTGCTTCGCCCAGGGGGGCGCCTTCGGAGCCGGGAGGGGCCCGCAGCCGCTTGTCGTCGCGTCCTGAAGTCCCCGGCGGACGCGGGGAGGCTGCCCGCAGTCCGCTCTCTCAGCAACCTTCTTTCCAAAGCGCAGGGAGGGCTGCAGGCTCGATGTGTGTGTGTGGGGGGGGGGGGCTGTGCTGGTCTGGGGCAGATTCGCGGGGCGGGGGGGGG